TTTTAATTTCTTGCTAAATATCCCCATTTGAACATTTGTACCCCCCATCCCATAATTGTGTTGTAATAATTTAGGACCTTTAAATTCCGCATTTAAAAGCTTTCTAAATATGCCATGATAGACTTAGGGTTTTGTATGCAAAAATCAACCAACAATAGCTTGACCTAATTCCAAGATAAAAGCATGAAAATGAACAAACACCAATCACACTTGCACCCCTTAGGGTTACTCCACTTGATGCCTTCAATAATGGGCCATGTTGCATGTTAGGTGTCTTTGGCAAAAACAAAACAATTCAAATGATCATAGTCCCTCGATGACGCTTTCGAAAGTTGCCTAAACATGATCAAGTCCCTTAAAGGAAAAATTGCCCAAAGACACTTGGCACCATTGCAATCATGGTCTAAACGATGACCCGCGCCTGTCCCGTTCACATCCTAACACAAGATTGTCCACCAAATACAATGGTGGAACAAAATTGTTAAAAGGGTTAAAACATAGCAAAAATCTTTGAGTAAATTTAGGAGTAGACAACTCTTGGTTACTTGCCAACTTGCAAAACAAAAACACTTTCCTATTTTTCAAAACCACACATCACAACACACTTTCAAAAACAACTTTCAAAAACATTGAAAACTTTTCAAAAGACATACACCTTTGTATACATCCCAACATGGATCATTACAAAGGTTGCCACCACATTGGCCTCTTTTCAAAACATTTTCAAACCCACACACAAAGCACCATTTCAAATAACTGAAAATCAAGGCAAGTTGATCTAAGCAAGTAACTAAGAGCCCATGGATAACCATGGATAGAAAGGGTGCTAATACCTTCCCTTTCTATAATCTACTTCCCGAACCCAAGAAAACATCTCAAAGGTTTTTGCTGTGCTTTTTAACCTTTCCTTAGGATAAAATAAAAAGTCGGTGGCGACTCTTGCTCAACCGAAACATTTGCGAAAACACGCAAAACCTCAAGTCAGTTCTCCCACCGTATCATAGTGTTCATTTTGATAATGGTGGTGAGTGTTGTGGACCATTTCATGCATATTGCAAGCAACATGGTATTGCATATGAAAAGACTCCTCTTAAAACTCCTCAATTGAATTGTTTAGCAGGGAGGATGAATCAAACACTAATTGAGAGAGTAAGGTGTATGCTCTCTAATGCTAAGTTTCCAAACAATTATTGGGGGTGAGGCATTTTACACAACGGTGCATGTTCTTAATCTCACTCCTACTGTTGCTTTGAACAATGGAGTTCTAGACAATATTTAGTTTGTTAAGAATGTCAAGTATGACAATTTGAGAGTCTTTGGTTGAAAGATCTAAGTTGGATGCAAAGTCAAAACAATGTATATTCATCGTCTATGAGCAAGATGAGTTTGATTACAGGTTATATGATCCTGTAGGAAAAAAGCTTATCTGAAGCCGCGATGTAGTATTCATGGAGGACCAAACTATTGAAGAAATTGATAAGGTATAGAAGATTGCAGCCAATAAAGATATCAATTTGTCTAATATTGATCCAGTTTGGTTACCTAATCATAATCTAGATGGTATTGGTGGTGATGATCAGAATGATGAGCCATATGATTATGTTGATGATCAACAACTTAGAGATGAGGTAAACATTTCAACTAATGATGATGAAGAGGAGAATGATATGCCACAAGATGAGAATATTTGTGAAGCTACAGAATCATCTCAAGTTCAACTTAGGAGGTCTATCAGGCAGAGAAAACCTTCTACAAAGTATAATTCTGATGAGTATGTGACCTTGAATGATGAGGGTGAACTTGAGTGTTTTCAAGAGGCCATGGAAAGTGATGAAAGGCAAAAGTGGTTGGATTCAATGCATGCCAAGATGAAATCATTACAATGATAATCACACTTATGATTTAGTGAAGTTTCCTAAAGGAAAAAGGGCTTAGGAAATTAGGTGAATTTATAGAGTTAAACATGAGAGCAACTTTAAGTCTCCAATATATAAAGCTATGTTAGTGCTGAAAGGTTTCTGTCAAAGAAATGGTGTTAATTTTAATGAGATTTTCTCACCTGTTGTAAAGATGCCATTAATCTAAACCATATTGAGTTTAGTTGTTACTCTTGATTTAGAGGCTGAGCAAATGGATGTGAAAACGACTTTTCTTCATGGTGATTTAGAGGGAAAAATCTACATGAAAAAACCCGATGGTTTCAATTTAAAGGAAAAGAAGATCATGTTTGTAGATTGAGAAAAAGTCTATATGGATTGAAGCAAGCTCAAAGGAAATGGTACAAGAAGTTTGAGTCTGTTATGTGTGATCAAGGATACTAGAAGACTACTTCAAATCATTGCGTCTTTATTAGAAAATTTTCTAATGATGACTTCATTATCTTATTGTAATATGTTGATGATATGCTTATTGTAGGGAAAAATATTTCTAACATTAACAGGTTAAAGAAGCAGTTGAGAGAGTCATTTTTCATGAAAGACATGAGAGCAGCTAAATAGATTCTTGGCATTAGAATCATGTGTGACATAAAAGAGAAGAAACTTTGGATGTCACAAGAATATTATATCGAAGAAGTGTTGGAAAGATTCAAAATGAAAAACTCTAAGGCGGTAAGCACTCCTCTTGCTACTCATTTCAAATTGAGTTCTAATCAAATTCCTTCAAGTGAAGATGAAGCATTTAATATGAAACATGTTCCTTACGCATCTGCTGTGGATAGTTTGATGTATGCAACGGTGTGTACAAGACTAGATATAACATACTCCATTGGTATAATCAGTAGATCTTTGTCAAATCCAGGTAGAGAGTATTAGAGTGTTGTAAAATAAATTTTAAGATATGTTCACGGTACTACTTGTATAAGGCTTTGCTTTGGAGGAGATAAGCCTACTCTAGTAGGATACTCTGACTCTGATATGGCTGGAGACATTGATTCCAGAAAGTCCACTTCGGGCTACATGATTAAATTTGCAGGGGGAGTTGTGGCTTGGCATTCCAAATAGTTACTTTGGTTGTAGAATTTTTTGCAGGAACTTGATTTTGTTCAAGACAAATATGTGTTATTTGTTGATAGTTAAAGTGTTATTCATCTTGGTAAGAATCAGACTTTTCATAATAGGTCCAAACACATTGATGTGAGATACCATTGGATACATGATGTTTTGGATGTTAAGTTGTTGGAGTTAGCTAAAGATCATACATATGATAATGGTTCTGATATGATGACTAAAGTGTTACCAAGAGGAAAATTTGAAGTTTGTTATGATATCGTCGGTTTGGCAATTTCCTCCACATAGTTGTATAGTTATGAGGGGGAGATTTGTTGGGCTTAGGCTCCCTTCTTATGTGGAGAATAACCCAAATATGAATAGCCCATTTGTCTCACTTATATAAGTGGATAGTGTTAATTTTGGGTTAAGAAAAATAGAGAGAAAATAAGGATTCAAAAGAGAGAAAAGAGGAGAGAAACTCATTCCTGTTTTTTCTGTAGCAGTCTCACAAAATCAAGGATTCCCGATTCGTTCACCGTCAAATCAAGCTAAAATTTAGAGGGCAAGTTTGCAACACCTGTATCTAACTTTTGACCTATGCGATCTTCAAAAAAAGATATGAATTGAGAGATATTGACTTCACACTGAAGCTGCAGATTTGAGAAAAATTTCAACTTTTTAATTCTTATTTGTAAGTTAGTTTGCTTTGTGATTTTCGATTGTTATCACTATTTTATGAATCATTTTAAGACTCTCTTGTATCTTCAATTGATTATAATGGAGCTATTTTCTTTGGTCTAAACGACTCGTGATTTTTACTCTCATATTAAAGAGTTTTCCACATTAAAAATATCGGTGTTCTTTTATATCTATATTATTTAATTACTAACTTATATTTATTATTGATCTTCAAAGTTCCTATAAATATAAAAAATTCTATATTCGCGTATTATTCAATTATTTTATCTTAATTTCTTATGATGGTCAAATTTTCATTACAAGATATAGGGTAGAAACACAAAACTCATGTGGTGATTCACCTAAGGAAAATAATGATATACTTCAATAATCAAGATTTGAAATTATAATTAACATTACATAAAGTGTGCCACTGCAAGTCTACTCCACTTGGTGGTGACACGAGAGTCTACAACCCCAACAAGAAAACTCTCCCATGTGAAATGAGTTGATAAGTTCCTCTTTTTCCTATTACTCCATTAACTACCGTGTAACAAGTCATGAAAACACAGCTCAAACGCCTCATAAATGTGAATGATTTCACAATTTTAAATTCATAGAATATACTAGTAGAGTTATTTTAAGAGTCGGTCCCTAAAAATGTTGAAAAAGAAAAGTCGTTGGATGAATTGCATTGTTAGTTAGTTGATAGTACTAGCGTGCCGGCTGCTGTAACAACGAGATCCTTATCTGTGACCGCATTCATTTCACTTCTCTTAGACTCCTCTAAATTATATAAAAAACAAAAATAAGAATCTTTCTTTCTTTTGTACTTTACTGAATTATTTTCAATTTTGACTAGAAACTTCTCTTGGAATTTAGAACTAGTCTTCCTTCCCATTTCACTCGCTTAACCTCAACTTGTAGTTGTAGTACTTTCTCACTCACTTCTCTCAATGTCAGTGCCACATGGCTTTTCTTCCAAAAAAAAAATTGAATCCATTTTATTAAGAGTTAAATTAGGTTAAGAAGTACTCCTACTTTCAGTGTCATAGTGTTACACTTTGTTTGACCGACTTAAGGTCACTCTTGCCAACCAAGAAAAAGAAACTGTCCACAACTATAAAACGTGCTCCACTATAATATCCACCTGTATTATTCAGATTCTAATATCATAAATAAAATAAATTAGCTTGCCCACCGCGCTTACTTACTCACCACTCGTCACGCAACTTCCCCACCAATTTTCACCTCCTTATAAAATCTCTTCACACACCATCACTTTTCACTCAAAATATTTCAATACCTCTCTCTTTCTTTTTTTTCAATAACATGGCTCTAGAAGCACTTAACTCACCCACCACTACTTCTACTACCCCAAATTTAACGTTCAATGAACCATCTCTTCGTGACTCTGAACCATGGACCAAACGAAAACGTTCTAAGCGTTCACGTTCTTGCACTGAAGAAGAGTATCTCGCTCTCTGTCTCATCATGCTAGCTCGCGGAACCACCACCACCACCACGACCAACCGCCACAGTTTCAAACCATTACCAACAACAACAACAACAACAACCGCTGACAACAACATCAAGCTGAGTTACAAATGTTCTGTCTGCAACAAAGAGTTCTCTTCTTATCAAGCACTCGGTGGACATAAAGCAAGTCACAGGAAACACTCTACCAACTGTGGTGATGACCATTCAACTTCCTCAAATTCTGCTAACGCCGCTACCACCGTTGTAAGCGGTGGCGGTGTTAGATCTCATGAATGTTCGATTTGTCATAAGTCGTTTCCGACAGGACAGGCTTTGGGTGGACACAAACGTTGTCACTACGATGGCGGTGGTGCTGTAACTGTAACTAACTCAGAAGGTGTGGGGTCCACACATACTGTTTCTCATAGTCATAATCATAGTCACCGAGGTTTCGATCTGAACATCCCCGCTTTTCCGGAGTTTGGTGACAAGGTCGGAGAAGACGAGGTTGAGAGTCCTCACCCTGTGATGATGATGAAGAAGAAGCCTCGTGTTTTCGTGGTGCCCAAGATTGAAATTCCTCATCACTAATGAATGATTAGTTGAAATACTTGAGATTTAGATTTAGTAAAAGATTAATTAGTTGGAATGTTTTATTTAATTATTTAGAAAATTTTGAGTTATTTTTTATTTTGAACATAGTAGTATGGTTGGGGGAATTTTTTTTTATTGTTTCTGGTTTTTTTTTTCTTAATTGAAATTGTAATTTACTTTTGAGTTTGATGGTGGCAATTCGATTTATTTATTTGAAAGTATATGAATACTGAGTGGTTGTCCTGATAGAGTTCTAGTAGAAAATGGTCATAAGTTAAGGGCCAAGTCAGTTGGTTTCTCTAAATTTAAATCCACACTTGTGTCAAATTCCACACTAAAGCTAAACAACCTACTTCATGTTTTTAGAATTACTAAAAATCTAATTAATGTGTAAAATTTCCAAAGATAACAATGTATTTTGAAATTCATGCTGGCAAACACTATGTAAAATTACAAGATTCTAGCTTTTTGCAGCTTAAAGGATTCTTTGATGATAGTGGGTTGTATTGTTTTAAAATATAGCTTTATAATCTTCACAAAATTTTATTAGTATTAAGTAAGAATTTGTCTCCTGTTTATAATATTATTGTTTCTCATGATTCTAGCAATGCAGGGTCAGTCATAAATAATCTTTTTTTGACACTTTAGACTAGGTAATATAATGATAGAGTTATTCATAATGTGCTTGAACTGTTTAATCTAAATTTGATTAATAAAAGCTCTGCTGAATTTTGTAATTCATGTTGTATTGGCAAAGCACATAAATTACATGCACTTATAACAAATACCAAATATAACTGCTCTTTTGAATTGATTCACACTGACTTGTGGAGATCATTTACGACTCCTTCTAGTAGTGGATACTCCTATGTTAATTTTGTAGATACTTTCACCAAATACATTTAGATCTATCTTCTCAAAAAGAAAGTAGATGTCTTACAAGATTTCAAATTGTTTCAAAATTATGTTGGAATTCAATTCATTGCCAACATTAATGTTGTTCAATCGGACTATGAGGAAGAATTTAATTCATTGACCATGTATCTCAATGTATATAGCATTGAGCACAGGCTGACTTGTCCTCACAACTCTCACCAAAATGAGATTGTTGAGAGAAAACACAAACAAATTGTTGGAATGAGCCACACTCTTCTTGCTCATACATCATTCCCAACAAAGTTTTGGGACCATAGCATCATAATCGTTGTCTACCTAATCAATAGGCTTCCTACAATAGCTCTACCTGAATTCCCATCACCCTTCTATGCCTTCTTCAACATGCTACTTTATTACAAGTCCATCAAGGTCTTTGGTTGTGTATGTTTCCCAATTCTAATGCCCTACAATCAACATAAGCTACTATTCAGAAAAACTAAAAGTGTCTTCTTAGAAGTATCCCCTACTCACAAAGGGTGCAAGTGCCTCAACAAATAAAGAGTCTCGCTCAATTGATTCAAATGACATTCAATTTCATTGGCTTAATATGATGTTCCTATTTTATTACAAGCTTTAAACTTTAAATCTTAATATTCGACGAATAATCAAATAGAGAGTCTTGATCCATAGTTTCAAATGCAATTGTATAAGCCGTGGCTTTTTCTTTTTCAAGAAAATTTGGGATAAAAACCTATCCCATTTGAAGGAGCGAATTACAAGACTCAATCTCTTTGTTTAGGGTGAAGTATAAATTGAGTCTTTTCCCTCTTTTAAGAAAGGTCGAAGCCATAGTTTTAAATTGGAGTCTGCAATCGCAATTGTATCAATAATATTACTTATGAGATAGCCTCCAGAATCGCATTGTATCACAATTGCAATGTAAATTAAAACTATGTGTTCGACTACCATTAAAAGTCACATCAAGTCATTTTCCTATGTTTTTTCTGGTATTTTCATCAAAACTCAAATTTCAGAACCAAAATTTAATTTCTCTATAGTAAAAAAATCTTAACATCAAATGCTTTTTAACGGTGTATTTCAAACACCTCATAATTAAAATTTATGCCACAACGACCACAACATGCATCGCAGCAAGTGAAAAATAACTGCAATTGCATCACCCGCAATTGTATCTGCAACCTCGATCGCAATTTAAAACCATAGTTGCAGCCATAATCGATATCATTTAAGAGCGAGTCATTTCTATGAAAAAGGTATTTAACAACGGTTGGAAAAGATATATAATCACGCAAGTTCAGACGTTGTTTTGTAGAGTGTTGTTGTAAATGTATTATCTACAATCACAGTCATGGGACCATTGTAGTATACTGGAAATGGAGTGCGATATCACAATGATTAGCTAACTTAACCGTTGTGATAGACCTATAGGTCCCAGGTTCGATTCATAGCATCAATATTTTGGAACATAAATTACAATTTGTCACAGTTACTATAGATAACTGTTGTGATAAGTAGATTTCTTATTTTTCCATACACCTCATTAAAGAAATACAACCATTCAAATTGATGAAGTATATAATCTTAAAATTAAATTATTCTTGAAAACCAACTTAAACCAACAATAGGTTGACTTTCAAATACATCTTAATTTTCAGATTATAAGTTTCTATGTTGATTTAAAAGAATGAATTTTCATTAAAAGGTTAGTGAAACAAATAATCTACATAGCATATAATAAACTAAATTTCATCTACTGTCAACATGTATAAGAATTTAAAGAATAAAATTTTGCTAATTTCTTGTGACTTAGCAATGTTTTGTTCTTGTTTTGAGAATATTTGTCAACAATAACATACAACAACACAAAAAATACATGCAACAAAATAAAATAAAAACATACATTTTTGCAACAAAACACTAAAAACATACAATATCACAAGATGTATTAAATTGTTTCAAGAATGCACCTTTATTGAAAATAATCTTGGAATTGCAATAAATTATGAAGTTCAACTAATTTTTGATGCTATGAAAAACAAATACAAGGTGGATGAAGTTTCCACAATAACTTTATACTTCTTGTATTTTTTTCTATAGAAATACAAATCATATGTATCATAGTCAAAGTATGCGCTTTGTTAAGGTGGTGAAGACGAATCTGAAAAAATGAGAATATTCAACACCTTATCAGTTTATACTATACGCTTTCTACCACCATCATCACCATGTATCATCCCCTTAACCATCCAATACCATAATATACAAGGAAACATAACAAACTTCAACCATGAGCATCATCACAATACAAATAACAACCATAACATCACATTTTTACACACCCACATACATACATGGCCAAATAGATTTCAAAACAAATTCAATTTGCAAAACAAACTCACAAAAACAAATTCAATCAAAATAGATTCTCACATGCTTCAACTTTCCACACGTACAAACAAACTCTATAAAGTAACCTACTTACTAATTGCAATGGACCTACCATTTTTCTACTGTTACACTGCTGAAGATTAAACCAAATCCTAAAACCATAATCCTAAATTCTAAGCATCAACAACATACAGAAGAAAAGTAGAAAGAAAAGAGCAAGTGAAGAGTAAAGAGAGATCAAAAGAGAGAGAAGGAGAACATGTCATCTTCACTGTCGTCGGAGTTTGTGTCAGACATTGCTCCGGTCAGGTATCCTTTAAGCTTCATTTAAGATTTTTTTGTTTAGGGGTAGTGGTCATCAGAGAAAAGTGATGTGCATAAGTTGATGATATGTTAGAGTTTTCTTTAGAGAGAAATGACTATTATGAACTGGGCGACAAATACTTTCGTTTATATATAAAAATATCACTTTTCATGACGGTTGACAAGACGAACCGTGATGATATATTATTTTAAATAAAAAAACAAAATATATGACAACAATTGAACAAAACAATTGTAGTGATATTCCATTTATTTTTTATTTAAAAATAAATAAAAAGGAAAAGACACGCATTGACGTTAAAGGAATAACATATTTGAGGGCGCTGAGGTTCGAATCTATGAAAGCTTGATTGTATCACCATGGTGAGTACACCAACCGTTATTATATCCTAACAATTTTTATTTAAAAAATAAAAATATATATATTAACGCCTTAATTTAGAGATGTCACCACGGTGTTTAGAATAATCGTAGCTACTTAGACATTGTTGTATGCATGTTTTGTAGTAATGAATATTGCAAGACTCAATATATTTGTTTAGGGAGAAGTATAAGATCAATAATCCACATAAGAGAAAGATCAATCATGGTCATATAACCTTGGAGTTATACCTTTTTATTACTCTTGGTTTTAGGGGGTATTATTAACTTTACATGAAAAAAACAATGAAAATATATTGTTATTATTCATCTGAAATCTTAATTAGAAAAGGAAAAAGGGCTATTGTAGTTATACACAAATAAAGTAATTGTAAAGCCTAAAAATAAGGGAAAGATAAGAGACTTAGTCAAATTCTAATAAACTACATAAAAGGGTATTTATTTTAGTACTCTCCAACAAGCTAGATTGTGTAGTGTGATAAGGCCAAGCTTGAGCAAAAAAGTAGAAAAAGAAGGGTTGGATAACGATTTTGTCCGAACAACAGCTATTTGAGTAGTAAAAGGAATGGGAAACAGTTTGATGCTTCCGAATTCCAGTTTTTTGCGAATGAGATGTCAATCAATTTCTATGTGCTTTGATCTTTCGTGAAAAGTCGGGTTGTGTGCAAGATAGACAACGGATCTGTTATTACAATAGAGAGAAGTAGGCCTGAAAAAGTAATGTGAAGGTCATTGAACAAGTAATGCAACCATTTCACTTCACGTATGAGGTTGGCAAGTGCTCGATACTCAGTTTTGGAACTTGAACAGTGAAACACCCCAATTATTTATTGAATTATTTTAATAAATTATTTATTTGATGTTGTGTATTTGTATGTGTTGATGAGCATTTTGTTTATGATTTATTTGGTACAATAGATGGGTTAGTGATATTATATATGGGTGAGTGTCAGATTATAGTAGTAATGATAATTATTCTGAATTTAGATAATTTAGTTGAAATTATT